CTTCTACATATTTTACATTTGATGACATAATTTATAAACAGACGTTTGGGACCCCTATGGGGTCACCGTTATCACCAATTATTGCAGACCTGGTTATGCAAGATCTTGAGGATACAGTTCTCAAAGCGTTGAATTTGAATGTTTGTTTTATTTTCGTTATGTGGATGACATAATAGTGGCCACCTCTATGACTAATATGACTCAGATTGTGAATAATTTTAACAACTATCATGAAAGACTTAAATTCACGGTCGAACAAGAGGTTAACCATAGCTTGAATTTCTTAGATTTATCACTTAAAATTATTAATAACAAAATATATATAGACTGGTATCAAAAAGAAACCTTCTCAGGAAGGACGTTATCATTTTATTCAAACCACCCATTATGCCACAAAATTGGAATAATATATAACCTTGTAGACAGATGTCTATTCTATCACATCCACTATTTTTTAATAAAAATTTGGAGTTAATTAATATACTCAGAAGCAATGGTTACCCTCTTGATCTGATTTTTAACAAAATTAATCATCGGATAGAACACATCATATCTAAGGGGAGCATTATAGAGAGACAGGCCAACATAGAAAGAACAAAAAGTATAGGAAATGACTCGGTCAATAAAAAATTCTTTGTCATTCCGTATATAGATGGGATCTCAGAAATGATTGTTTCCTCGGTAAAAAATAAAAATTGTATGGTAGGGTATAGATGTCTCAACAAACTGGATAATATTATTAAAGCGCAGAAAGATAAAACTAAACATCCATGCAATTCGAATGTGGTTTATAAGATCAGTTGCAATAATTGTAATGCATCTTATGTAGGCCAAACAAAGAGGCAATTGCAGACGCGAATGAAAGAACATGAAAATAATATTAGATTGGACTCAACGAAACATTCAGTAATTTCTGAACACATAATAAATGAACATCATACTTTTAATTGGGACAATGTTAAGATCATGGACAACGAAAATAATTATTATAAAAGACTCATTTCTGAGATGCTACATATCAAGGAACAAAAAAATGGACTAAATTTAAACAAAGATACTGAGTTACTTAGCGAGTCGTATTTTGATATTTTGGATATATTAGCGAACAAGAAATAATAATAGGACAAATAGGACATTAACGAGTAAAACATAGATATTAGATCATATATAAACACGCACGCTCTCCGATCAAGTAGAGTTTAAAATGAGCTGTCTTTCTGTATTGTTGGTTTGTTATGTGTCATCCTTAATAACTGTTAATAAGTAGCAAAATTGTCAAGAAGAACGATGATAGGTAAGCATACTACCAATTGTAGGGGATACATATTATAATTTGGACATACGTTGATCGGTAATTTTTTATTAATCGCAGCGCCTACGGAACGGGTTAATTTCTCGCATATTAACGATGAAACTATCCGAGATCTGAACAAAATCAGGGATCATATCGAGGCGAACATTGTTGGACAGGACGGATTGAAACACGCGTTAATTGCTCAAAAACTCTTGATTCTGAATAACTATAATTAAATTCGATATTATGTGAATTGTAAGAATTTATATTTCAATAATTATACTGAAGAAGACCGCGTGCGGTCGAAACGTTTATAGAATGATTGTAATTTGCGTTAGTTTTAATATAATGACTGTAGTTTTATAATTTATACATGTAATAAATGGTAGTTGACTGAACATCTCGAATATTCAGCTCGATAAGTTGGCCTTATATTTATCACTTTGTTTTCAATATACGAGCGACAATTGTATTAATTTATATAAAATACATTATTTAAAATATTTGGCTGTTTACTTATATAAAAAAGTTTTAATTTTTTTATTTAAAAAATTAATTTTATTAAAATAAATTTTAATCAAAATACATTTTTATATAAAATAATATTAGTTTTAAAAAAATATTATATACTAGACAGAATTTATTCACGTATAGTTAAGAAGAATACAAATTGTCGAAAAGATATTTCTTTGGAGATCTGACTCGGCAGTTTATAACTTGCAAGTCGCGTCTGTCGGATTCGATTTAACAGCAAAGCTCGATTTCTTGACAGAGAGGACTAGGAAAGAAGAAACGGCGCCACGATGTTAGGAGACGCCATTTTATCTGATTTCCCGAAAAAAGCGTTTTACACTCCGGCAAATCTATATTTTTTTTGTTTTTTTTACTGACAATATATCGGTGAAATTTATTTATTTCCATTTCATTAAATATTCTACATCACTGTTGTGATTCATTGAAATTAATGCCAACAATGACAATCGAAAAGGTAATTGAATGGAAAAGCCATTCATGGCGCAGTATTTTAAGATATCAAATTTGAAAGCTTGCCTGATGGGCTTAGCTAATGCAGTTTATCGAATTTGCGCTTATTTATTTGTACATGCAACTCGATTAAACAAGCGTTGTGTTAATAAACTAATAATGTTTGCAATATATGAAATTGAATAATCCATATTTTCCAGGGCTTTTAGTTATTGTGAAGCGAGAGCTAAGAATTAAAGAGAATATATGATTAAAAGAGAAGAAAGTTATATATTTCTAGAGAGCATTTTAAAACTTTAAGACAATAGTTTATAAACAATGTATTTAGTGAATTATTTTTTTAAATGTTTAAAGTATATACATCGTGCAAAAAATATATATATAAAATTTATAAATAATATTATTTTTATATATAAAATTATAAAACATTTTTTTAAGAAAAATGTTGAAACAGAATTCTTGTATGTAATATAAAATTTATTATACATATATATATATATAATATAAATTTTTATAATTATAGCCAAATATAATAATCTATATTAAAACTGTATTAGAACAGATTTAATATAAGAAAGTGATTTATTCAAGCAACAGTATGCACAATTTTGGAGAATATCTGTTTTTGAACGCAACACATAAACAACAACTTTTGCAATATATAGCACCCCATAAAACAAATTAATGTGAAATGACATTGCATTCAGCAATGAAAAGAGTGTTGTAGCATAACATTTGTCAGCTTTTTCGGCATGGAATGTCCAGTGATGGAACACTTCATGTGTCGCCTCGATGTACTTAAATTGATTTAAGAGAATGCCACCTCGGCAATGAATCACGCGATGGTCCTCTATCATCGATCGATATTAATGTTCGGAAAAAAATCATAGGGCGGGCGATATAATAAATCAGAAACTCACTTTTGAGAAGCAAGTGTGTTCATGTACTATACACACAGACAGACGCATTCATCCATTTTCTCTCTTTCTCTTCGAATGAAACGAGAGCGTTTAACTGCATTCTACTAAATAATAGTTTATGAACCGCGATGTCGGTCCCGCAAAAGATTTAAGAACGGTGGTAGTTTAGGAGACAAGAGAGTTCCAGGGGTGATTCGCTTCGTGAGCTCCCTAATTTCTATTTCCGCCATGACGTCACATTTTTTTCTCCTTCCCTCAAGCGTCGTAGAAGCTATTACGTGATTGTGACTGAGGGTGACTTTCGTGATCCGTGACGATGACATGCGGAGAAAGATGTATCATAAAATATAATGTAACATAATTTCAAATAATATATAATAGTAGGAAAGTGTGTTAAATATTAAAGGTAAATAGTAAAATTGTAAGAAAACTGGCAAAGAAATAATTTTGCTAAATTATTTCTAACAATAAAATAAAAAAAATTATAACAATAACGAAGTTCATTTTCTACAAAAATTCTCAGTTTGTAATAAAACATATTTAAAAGAATGTCATATTTATAATCATAAATTCTTTTCAAAAATTTAACAAAAATACTTTTTGTAGCTCACAAAAATATAAAATAATATATAAAAAAACACAAGTAAAAAAAACAAATTTAGTAAATAGTTCCAGCACGATATAGGAAAATGTATCTTAAAAATTGTGTCAACGCTTCAAAATGCTTTAATAATAAATTTAATTTTTTAATCATAAATTTAGAAACGTCACTTATCAACAAATTACTTAATGAGAGAACGTCAACACCTAAAAATATTTTAATTCTGTTGAAAAAGCACAGTAAAAGTGCGATGTGACATACTTTTCCGCATATAAATGAAAAAAGAAATATAAATGAAAAAAATATGAAATATAAAATTAAAAGGAATGTTGCGCGTTATACGATCAAAATTCAGCGGTGCCATTGCAATGTGAATGTTTGAGTTTATCTCTCGATTATCTGGCCTTTTAAAGTTCCTAAATTTGCGTCGTCGCGAGAAGCCAGTTTCCGCGGTTATGAACGATGCTCGATTCTATCGCTCGATTAATTATTCGCACTCGTAATTTGATATTCTGCGCGCGCGAGCCAATATTCGTGCACAGCCGCGAAATAACAACCGAATGGTTTCTATGAACAACAAATCGAATTAATGTCGCTACAGCGATTAATGTAGCAGTTTTGTTGCGGAAATAATGCATAGAACTTCTAATAATATAGCAATAATTAGTTAAAGGGATGATCGCGCAACTAAAATATTTTAAGATCGCCAAATAGATATTTTTTATATATAAAAAAAATTAGCAATTGATAAAAGTGGCGGAACCATATCGTATTTTATTAAACTCGAAATCGAAGCGTTTTCACGAAAAGTTTTCATTTTTTTAAATGTTTGTTTATTTGAGCAATTATACGAGACGTGAAGTAAAAATTTCGTTGCATACGCTTTGCTTCCCATTATTGATAATTAATATAATCATTTATTTATTGTAACTTGCAGCGAAATCAATTTTGCACTTTGCTTTTCTTCTTTATAGAATATTTTAAAATTGGAAATTGCTTTTAATTATCAATTAATTAATTAACATTAATTTAGCTTTATGTATATTATATCGAAGGGAAAGATATCATTTATTAATTTTAAAATTAAATTTAGCTTAATTTAATTTGAGCAGCTTTGTTAATTTTATTATATTAATATTAATTTCTATAATTTTATTATATTAATTATTAATTTCTATAATTTTATTCGTCCTTTTTTTAGGAAATTCAGTGATTATCTGTGGTATAAAAAATCGGCCAATTCTGCAGTCATCAGTGGGGTTTGAAGCGCAAGTCTACGATTTTGGTGAGTGATAAATTATTTTGTATAAAATTATAAAATAATTATATGTAAAATGAAAAGAAATTTTCGACGATTGGGGAGGAATATATATTATAAATATATAAAAATAAACACTAACAATAAGTAGTGTTTCTTTATCAAGTAAGAAAAATGATTCGAATTACATGGCGACATAATTTGGATCGCAATCATTTAAGCCGAGAGAAGAAGCCAGACTTGGACGTTGTTCAAAAAGTTAGTATTGATGTTTATTTCGGTATATACGATTAAATACAACGTTTAGGGGCTTTGTCCCCATTCTCTTCGAGTCCTCGTCGGTTCCCATTATTGTTTTCCGGCCGTGGACACGGTTGCGCAGGAAAGGAGCCGACATCTATTTGGGAAAAACGGATGAAACATCTGGCCGAGGAAATTTAATTTCTAAGCTTTAGCTCTCTCTGTGCGCTCACTTAGCGCTAATTTCTTGCTTTTTGTAACTCGATAAAAATCGACGGCCCCTTGTTACGTTCTCCCTCTCTCTCTCGCTCTCTCTTACTTAGAATCTTGTCGGGGAGAAAAAAAGATTGGAAAGGCGACGTTCCTCGGTTCCTTTTTCGCTCTGATTGGAAATGTTTGTCTCCACATCGATCTATGATCCAAGCGTGCTCCTCCACCTCCTTGAGCTATCAGAATTTTTCCCGTACTCCGAAAAGCTCTTTTCTCTCGAGAACGCTTTCGATCAGTCGCAGAAAAAAACTTGTCAACTCTTCCTCCCTCTTTCTTCACTTTCTTCCTTTTTTTCTTCGTTTTTTTTTTCAACGTTTATTGGGGGTTCCTGCTGAAAGCCCGAGACGAAAGCGTAAAAGGAGGAGGGAGAGAAGAACGAGGACGGAATGGAAATGGAAAAGAGGAAAAAGATTATGTTTGAACTTATTTGTGTGGAGTTTTATAGAAACTACACGAGTGCGCGATCAATTGAAATGATTGTGAATGTCGGTTCCATTTTGTTGTCTTCGGTTTCTGTTTCGGTCCGGATCTTCATCTAGCGCGTCACGCTTCACTGCGTTAACAGAATGCAGAAAAGTTTTATTCTATTTCATCGAATGAGAAAAAAAAAAAGAAAAAAATCGGGATTGACGTATAGATATATTAGAAATACGGTATACATAGAATTTCTATAATTTTCCGAATAAATAAATAATCGAAATTAATTACACTTGGAATTGAATGTTACATCTACATTTATATGCAGAAATTTTATTTTTATCGGTGGAGAATAACAGAAAATAGTAACTTGGATTTTTTCCGAGTTTTCTTTTAAACGAACGAAACTAGAAGAGAAGAATTTATTTCCAAGTGAAAGTGCGAGAAAAATTAGAAATCGTTAATTCTAAAGCGTTGTTTGCATTTAACAAGTAGAGATAAAAAACAAAGGAGGGAAGGAAATGCAGACAGATAGACGGGCAAACTTTTGAAGGAATGGTAGAGCAAAAATAGTATATTGTGTATCAAGTGCGGAAAGTTGACAATTGGTCACGAGTGCGACCACCCCACACGAGTGAACAATTGTCAATCCGCACGTGATACACATACTATTTTGTATTACAAGTGCAGGCAAAGTGGCTTTGTGCGCGTTTTCTGTGCGCGAGGTGGCCGATCGCACGCCGCCTTGCGGCGGCACGGTGCGCGAATAGCCGTGTTCAAAGTCATTGTCCACGGCTGAAGCCGTGGGCAATGGCTTTGAACGCGGCTTATTCACTCACCGCGTCGCCGCTAGATGGCGGAAGGGAAATCGGCTGCTTTCCGCACAGAAAACACGCACACAAAGTGCCACTTTGCCTGCACGTGTAATACAAAATCAATTTGTCCACGTGTGTGACCTCTTTTGAGAGCGCTTAGGGGGTGAATTTCCCGACTGCGTCGGGATCTCTAGATCTCTATTTCCCTTCGCGCTCTTTTTTGTCATCGCAGTTCTCTTTAAACCGCCGCGCCGCGCCGTTCCCTTTAATAAATCTGAAGGAGTCATCGCTCCTCCCGCCTAATGTCTTTGTCATGTTGACCGTCGACAAATCGCTGTTTGATATAAGCGAATTGTTCCATTTCTTCCACGCGTCACCCCTATTCTCACCCATTCCCTCATCGTTCACCCGCGTGTATGCATCATCATTTCTCTTTAGACCGAAACTGGGGCTTTCTTTCGCGCGTAGAAAGAGAAGGCAACCGGAAGTGAACGTCGGAACGGAGGAGCAAATGGCGGGCAGGGGTTGATATCGCGCGTATCCGCCGCAAAAAGTCTCCACCTTGCCTCCAGAAGGCAGCAAGCAAGAAATCAGTAGCGGGCGAATGGCTGGAATTAGATTCTGCTCGTGTGCGGGCATCCCCTTTTTCCTCCTTTTTCCTCCCCTATCTTCCTCTCTCTCTCTCTCTCTCTTCCTCTATTCCGGGGCGGAGTGTTTAAAGCCCGTGAAATGGGCCGCCTCGTTCTCCTCCGCTTCTCTCCCTTTCGTTTTCGCTCACCCTACGAGGACTGAACTTGGGCGTAAGGGATTCTCCTCGCTAATGGTTGCTAGTTTCTCCCAAAGCTCGAGGCTCTTTTTTTTCAGGGAGGAGGAAGAGCTGCTCCAGCTCGCGCGGTTGCCGAAAATTTTAATTGCCGTCGGTTGGAACTTGGCTCTTTATCACGTGCACATATTACTCAATGTTCAAGTTATACTGAAAGTTTCCCCAAAAGTTTCACGAGCATTGCTAGATTTCCTTAACTGCGGGAAAGAAATATTAAAGGAAACGACTCGTTAGCAAACTGAAAAAATTGTGTGTGTATATTATAAAATAAGCGCACAAAATTTTAGATGATCTTTTTGACGAAAATTAAGGGGATTTCTTATATGTATAAACATATATTCTTGCATCCCTGATTCGAGGAGTTACACTTTTCTGAAGAGAGAGATCAAAATTAAATTTTTATTAAAACAAATATTGATAAGTATTCATCAAGTTTTATTTCTTTAATTTGTCTGCTGAGGAAAAAAATAAAGACTTACTTTTTACCTCCTTCTTTAGAGAAGTGTAACTCTTCAGGAAGAGATATAAGAGTATATTTAAAATTTTTGCACTTATTTAGATACACTCTCTATATGCTGCATTTTAATTTTTCATTGACGTTTCTAAAAAATCAAAACATCCCACAAAAATGTTTCAAAGCTGTATTTTAGCAGAAAACATTTTGAAATTTCAAGAGCGTAATTACTGTTTTTTAAAAAGGACCATTATAATTTTTTCACATAAATTGATTTTTCGTAATTATCGTATATTTGAAGTAAACAATTGCAATTCAAAAATATCAATGTGTTATTCAAAATGGGACACCGTATATGCGTAGTATGCGTTTGCGCACACGTGCGTAAATTATAAATTCTGTAAATCTCTCGTGTGTAGATAAAGCGGGTTTAATTGAGTAGAAAATACCCCTTGTTTTGTGATCTTCGCAATAATGATTGAGAAATTAATTTTAAAATATCGAACATTTGCAGGATTAGAAAAGACACAGCTTAATTTTAAGCGGATTAGTCGATCTTCTTTAATTAATTCTTCGTTAATTATTGTGAAGATCGCAGAACTGTGAAAGACCTTTCTTCTCGATTTATTCAGCTCTACTTGTGCACGAGAGGTTGGACGATTATTATCGTACTATGTATTTAAACATGTACATTTTTATATTTTTAATATCTATAATTTTATTATATAATTTATTTATGCAATTTAAAGCTTGTTTTTATAATCTGTTTTTTTCTATCTATTAAATATATTTTTTTAAACTCTCTAAAATATCGATTCGCATTATAAAGATTAAATTTGTCGATTTAAATTCAGCGGATACGTCAGTTAACCGGAAAATAATCGCTAACAAGTCTGCTGGATAATCCAAATTTTTGGAAAAATTATTTTATAAATTAATTCCAAGTTGACAAGCCAAAAATAAGCATTATTTGTTTGAATTTCGCTCTACCAGTTTATTTAAAATAGAATATGCAGGAAACGAAAAGTTCCGATAACAACTGATATTTTAGGTAAAAAATTTATCGTGTTTATTTGTATGCTACATTTATCGGAAATATTTTCATTTTTGATTTGTTCAAACATTATTATTGTTTTAGTCAATTTGTATATTCAAGCAACTGCGTTGCACATAGAAATTCCTTTAAAGTTTTCTTAAAGATCTAAAAATTAAAATATTAAAACACTCTAAGAAATTAATAATTTATTATATTTAATAATACTATATTACATTTTTTAAATATGTTTTTACATGCAAATATATATATATATATATATATATATATATATATATATATAAATCTTTTCCGTTATATTTTAATTACTTATAATAAGGAAATCGTTTTTAAATATACCTATATACAAATAAAAATGTTTTAAATTGTCATTTTTTCTTGCTGGTATAAAATTAAAAAAATAGGATACAAATCACGTGAAAAAATTTGATCATAGATTCTGTCAAAAGAGAAAAAATGCGGCGATATTCCAGGTGCATACAATATGTACTAAGCATCGATCGAGTCGCGAATAGAAACGCAGTTGCTAAATCGGTCGTCGGGCAAAAGTAGCTATCAAGTACTATAAAATACTTTTGTCGTCATTATTACGCGATATAAACGTCATAGGTTATCGGTATGCCACAGAAATTGCGCAAAATATTGCAACACCGATTGGGGAATTGAACGATGTGGAATAAATATTCCACACGCGGAGCGAGAGAGAGAGTTACAGCTAAAGCTGGGTTGTAATCCCTAACGAACCGAAAATATCCATATTTCCGAGCGATCGGCAAAGCGTCGAAACGTCGTTTCCTCCATTAGTGAATCGAACCGATATCACGGATATCGCGAAAGTCGAACACTGGAGACCAACGATTGAAGCGCGAACAATATTGTTGAAACCGGAACAATAGTGTAATCGACTAGAAGGCAGAATCTCCGTTATCGGAAGCGCCATTATTCGGATGTCCA